AGTAGTGTAACAGCGACAAGGACAATGTTGAGTCTGCATTTGCCAATTTAATTGTGTCGTCTTACCTGAATGATAAGATGTTGATGAAACACATGTCTTGCTCATAGCATGGACTCATGTAAATGTCATCCTTTTTCACAAATCGAACTTCAACTGTTAAAAAAACCCGAATTAAATTAACTAATTAAATTTAACCAATCAGGGCCGTAGTTAAGCGTTTATACACCAGCACCGGCAACTATAAATGTGCGCGCCGCTATGCACCAAAAACGCCAATCGTACGCCCGTGCGCCGCAAAATTTTGAAAGCCACGCCGACGATCTTCGGTGCAACCCACATGGAATGCACCCTGGGGGGTTCCCCATCCGAGTTTTTTCAGGGTTCTCACCAGGGGGTTGAGATGGAGGTAGCCCTCCAACTACCCAATGCCCCAGCCTTTTTATTTAACAACTGAACTTGCAGGTACTACAGTTGTAGGTAGTATGGGTGGAGGGAGTTATGATGTTTGCCGGCGGATTGCATATGCACTGGATCACAAGTCCAAGAGTAATCCAGCCAGCCATTAATTTATCCCAGACACTACTTTAGGGTGTCTGAAGACTGAAAGGGCTTTTGAAAAGAAGGTTCAGAGAATTAACTCTGATTTACAGTCTTAGTCTTACCAGGAAAGTGTACGTTAAATCCAGATTCACTGGTCCAGCTTTGAAGCTTTCTAAGAACATACGCAGTTTCCTTCCTGACGAGAAAACAAATCCATATATTAACATGTAAAAACAAAAGCCATTAAAACAATGGCACAACTTTTAACTGGATGTTTAAAGGAGATCAGTCACGGTTTGCGCATATTGAAAAGTTTAGCCTCAATTTTTCAAATTCGTCGTTTGTAATCCGTGTTAATCTTCTCCATCCTTAGCCATCCTTGTTCCTTTATGGTTTATCATTATCTCTTTGGTGCTTTTCTATCTTAATAACCTGCTATTTTCAGGTTTCCTACCATTTAAGGGTAATTTTGTATGTGGCCGAAATAACTCAAAAATACCGTGACTGAGCTCCTTTAAAAAAACAGATTGTGCAATAACCTCTACTTATTATATGGCTGTGTCTCGCAAGAACTGGGAACTACCGAATTCACAAATTTGATTGGCTCAAATCGATATTGACCGCGGTCTAGATTTTCCCATCTAGACCGGCATCTAGACGGGTTTCATTTTGCGTTGACAAAGTAGCAAACTAAAATACAAAAATGTTCACCATTTTCTTTTATTTTCTTCTCAATCATTTATGGAAGTGCCAAAAAGCNAAAGAATTAAAGTTTTCTTCTTTAAATTATACTGACTTTTGATGACCGAAACCCTAAAAAAAATCCATCTAGATCTAACAAGTTAAGTGGAGAAAACTGCAATTTGCAAGATTGAAATTACCGAGATATCACATTAAACTGAGTAGTCCAATATCCCAATCCCCAATGTCCCATCGTTTATACAGCTATGCAGAGAGGTAACCTGAGAGTAACGTTTCTCGCCCAGGGAACACAACAAGAATTGACCCTGTTTTTGTGCCATTCCACTTGCCATAACAAAACTAAAAGTTATTGTTTCCAACAAATTATAAAACTTACCATGGAAAGGCCCACTCAGAAACATACTGCTTAAACAGGCAGTCAAAGTTGAAAACCTAAAATACACAATCAGAGAATAAAGTAAAACTGAGTTTTATACTTGAATCACTAGTTAGTTAATGTGCATGTTGAACGCATACATATGTAGCAAATATTTAGCACCAGAAATTTTAAAAATATATAATTTATCATCCCTTCGATTCAATAGCATTGCTTGCTCATAAACAACTACCACTGCTACCTATAGCCTAAGATCGAAGGGGCTCTGCTAAAAGGGTACCTATAGCTATCACTGACTATCTACATGTATAACCAATGCTTCCCCTAAAATATAAGCAGCAGATGGAATGAATCTCTTCTCTGGACTTGTCACCTTGTCATAGCAGTGGAGCTTGGGTGTCTTGATGACCCCAAGAGGTATGCCGGTGGGGACCTAATCCCTGGTGGGTTCATCCATGCTGGATTGGTGGAGGGATAGAGGCCTCACAGAGGACAGCACCTGGTCTTCCAGGATGGGGGTTGTGTATTATGCTAATCAACTGACCCAGTAAAAATTATGTGATTACAGAAACCTCACACTTTCAAGACAATTTATTGAGTCTGCCAGGGATACGGCGGTGCACAGTATGTCTTCCAGGGTGAAAGCCAGGTGAAAGGTAGAATAAAAAATTAATGTACACTGAATAATTAGACGGAAGAATTACTGCAACCATGTTCGTTTGTTTAAGTAAAACAGTGTAAGGAGTTGGTTTACTACAGAAACAACCACAATCCATGCACTATATAATATTTATCTGAGCTGCACCGTATGAACTGTCCTGACATGAAGAAAGTTTCCTACCTTGTAACTTTGATTTATTCTTCTTTGAGGTTTCCTGTGAAATAGCTTAAAATGTCCCCAATTGATCCATTGAACAAGCGGAGGGACAAATGAACTGCCAATTAAGAACAGATTAACAATTAGTCATTTCCACTTCATGATTACTCTTATAATGCCAGAGTTCAATGTGTGCTTAAATGACCTCTCAAATTTCAAGTGTTCTTAACTACGAAAGTATTAAACAAATATCTTCCATTATTAGCTGTTAATGGATCCAGCATTCATCAAACAAGACAGCCTGGATTACACTATATAAATGTATAAAGCAGAATTGAACAAGAACATCAGCAAAACAGAACTAAAATGCCATCAAGAATTAATTTAGTCATTGTTCTGGTGAGTACCATACTTGTTTTGCATGCAATGATCCAACTGAAGATAGTCTGCTCACGTATTTGGGTTTCTCTATCTAGGTTTGGTGTAAGCTTTCGCATGAGTGAACTGGCTGAGGGCTCATTTAGCAAAGAGAGCTTGCAAGCTTGTGGCTAACTAGACTTGTAGCAGGTTTTTCACTGAGAAGAAAAGAAGTGAGGGCCAGTTCGCAGGTTAGCAGCTAACTGCTGTCCTTTCTGCCATCCAGACTGATACAGTTTGTGGTAAATTCAACTGCCATGGGCAATTTATTGTCTTAGTTCACCTATTATTAATTAAATCAATGAACTAAAGAAAAATAGATACTTCTAATGAATAAAGTGATAAATTTGGAAACAAAGTGAAACACACCTTAACCATAACATGAACTCTAAAAAGTAATATCCCACAGCATAGTCCCAAAACCAACTGGGATTGTCTTCTTTGGGCTGCAAGAGGAAAAAGCATTCTTGTTACATTCAAAATTGATGTTGACCTGTTGCACAAAACTTTGCTACATACAGTACTATACTTGCAGAGTTTGCACTTCAATAATTCCAATCTGATAAAATGCAAAGTGGGCTTCAACTACATGTAATCTAACTGTTTACATTTTTAAGTATGGTTCCTAGATTTGAACTGAAACTGTCGCTTATTTCTCGCAGTGTGTTTATATTTAACAGTTGGCCATGAGGTCTTTATTTTCAGTTCACACAGACAAAAAGAAAATGAAACTCATTACAATTTACGTGAAAACATTTCTAATAAAAACATTGGAACATAATGTGCCAAAACATTGCAAAGTTGCATGTACATTAAAGATTTGGTTTGCCTTCCTCAACACCTAGACATCACTAAGTACCAAGCTTCAAGAACCTTTACCTTGTTAGTCCTACTGACATGAAAACGTTTAACATATCCTGTATGAGGATACCAAAGGAACCTGAAATGTTCACTGGATGACATGCTTGATTCAAGATTTTCCAACATCTATTAAAAAATAACAGAATACTGACAATTAAATCACACATTAGCAAAATAGACACTGCCTCATAAAAAAGACTGCTAGGAAAATTACAGAATGTAAAAAAAAAAAAATGGCTTCAAGATTTCTGAAACTCTTTTTCATGAAGGCTGTCACAGTCACTGGAAAACCAGTACTTTACACACACTGTAAGTTATGATTTCAAGACAATAAAATCTTCCTTGGATGGGATGCTAGACTATCTCAGTCAACTCAGGAAATAAAAATGTTCAGGTTGGCCTAGAAATTCCCCGATACCCACACATATGTCTACCTCACTGGGCACTGATCAAGTTGTTTAAAATGTAGATATCTACATGTGTATCCATGAGATCAATCACTATCCAGTGGATAGGCAAGCTTAGCTTGTTCTGCCGACTTATCCACTGGATAGTGAGATAATTTAACACATCTGGTAGATACAACTGTAGAAGACTTATCCACCCTAAGCCTGTAGGCAATAGCCAGGAATTTCCATCCAAACTTTACTATTGGTTCAGCTCCAGCCAAGAACTTATTATACCTGTGCAGCAAGTCAGGGGAAAACAAATTTCAGTTTGTTGCCTATTAAGAGCACAACTCAAGGATGACGCATTTAATGAGTGCTCAGGAATTGCCAAAGCAAAGCAAAAAGGGAGAAACATAATATCCATTCCATGCTTCAACAAATACAGGTCATTTCCAGGCAATTTGAAGTAAGAACAAATAATACTAAACGACTTCATTTTTAAAAAATTATATCTATTGATATATAAAGTCTTTCTTTTAGAATATTCAGTCCGAGCCAGTTTAAATCACACCTCTTCCAGAGGCTTAGGTTCAGACAGTTGGAGCAATCTGAAAGCCTGTTCACACTGCCATGTTACAGTTAGAATAATGCCAACAGCACCGAGACTGCAAAGTGCTGCTAAAAATATCTCCTTGTTTTGACTTCTACTGCAGTACATGATCTCCCCATTGGCTGTCATCAGCTCCAGTGAAACAACCTGTTAAAACAACCAGACAGTGCATGTAGGATTTGAACCAACAAAGAAAGGTCATCTATGATTACCGGGCGTGTTTCAAACTGGAAATGGCAAAATGACAAAATGGCAATTAACTATGTTGAATAGAGTTAACCCATACAATAATAATATTTAGGTTAACCAAAGCACTATTTACACTAACCGTAGACTGAGACACTACTGTATCTCATTTTGCCATTTAGTTTTTACAGCGATTATCAATCAAATGCGACCTTCAGTGCAAAAGCCTCTAGACAAAAGCTAAGTTTTGGTGGATGACTTTTTCAGATAAATTTTGCATACAGTCGGCAAGGAGGCCGAGATGATTGACGTCCACCAAAACTTAGCTTTTGTCGAGACATTTTTGCGCTGAACATCACATGTGATTGACAACCACAGTAAAACACACCCATGTTTACCATATATCAGAATGCAGTTGGCATGCAGGTAGATCATATTATGGTGTTTTCTGTTACCGATCTTTCTGTCATCCATGTAAGATTTACTGCCAGGAATCTACAGTTAAGGCCCAGAACAT